GCCTGCTGGACTCACGTATACATAGGCCCTCCTTAACGTCATAGAACAGCAAGCCCAGGAGGTCAGATGTGCGGGGAGATGGGAAAGGCAGGGAGACAGCCCTGTCTGAGGCAGCAGGTTTTTCGGTCGGAGGTTCTGCACTGTTTTACCTGAAGCCGTGTCGGTGGTGATACCTGTAACCGAACAACCAGGTGGCAGATAACCCCTTTGGCATATCTCTCTCCCTGAACAGACTGAATTTCACACTTCGTAGTCGTCTCGCGGACATCTCTTCTAAGGGCAGTGCATTGTCAGTGTTAGTGTTGTCGGAGGACAGCCATACACACTTCTACGAAAGCTCCAGGTCTGAGCCATTTGAGGGTCAAGGAGAGAGAAATAGCTCTAACTCCTTGTGATGTTCATTCATTGCTCGGCAGGTGTCTTGGTGACGATGGTCCCAGGACCCTGCTAGGCCCCAGCAAAGCGCGGTTCCCTTGTAGAGTTTACGCTCGGGTGGGGGAAGACGAACCAGTGACAAACAGGTCACGTGCTGGTGATGATTTGAGGGCTTTAAACGAGATAAAGCAGGTGTGGGGAGGGTGAGGGCGACAGGGTGTGTGATCTTAGGCAGGGGCCCGCTGGCCCCCGAGGAACTGACGTTGGTCTGAGTGAGAGGCGTGAGGTGCCTGTGGAGAAGCACCCGCCAGACAGAGGAAGCAGCAAGTTCAAAGGCCTGCTTTCGAGTGTGTTGAAGCAACAAGCTTCACTTATGTCCTTGTTATTTATATTTTTTAATATATTAGGATTGTTGATTTCAGAGAGGAAGGGAGAGGGAGAGAGAGAGAGAGAAACATCAGTGATGAGAGAGAATCATGGATCGGCTGCCTCCTGCACGCTCCACACTGGGGATCGAGCCCGCAACCCCGACATGTGCCCTGACCGGGAATCTAACTGTGACCTCCAGGTTCATAGGTCGACACTCAAGCACTGAGCTGTGCCGGCCGCTTGTATGGTCCTTGTTATTACCTAAAATAGACCCTTGTTTCAAATAAGCAGGACACCAGGGGAATAAGTACCAGGTCACCTTCCAACCTCTTGGTGTCCCGCAGTTCAGATTCAGCCACAGAGACAAACTCTGCAGGTCGGAAAGTGTGGGTTGCGCTGTGGGAACACACAAGTCCCACCTCTGCTTGTCCCCTGGCCGCTAGCAACTCCCTCCCCTCCGGCTGCAGGAGGGAGAGTTTTAAACAGTTACAAACAGTGGAATCGATGAGCGTCGGCATGGATGGGGCAGCACCTCCGTGAAGAGGAAGCTACAGAGCTGGGGGGCCGGAGAGCACGGGGGCTCTGAGGAGGTACGCTGAGATCCCCAAGCGCATGAGAAGCGTCTGGTTCCTGGCCCTACGCTGGTGGGAAAGAGGCCACAGTGATAGGTGGTTTCTTAGGAAGCAGGACCGAGAAGGCAGGAATGGAGTGCTGGCGACGGAAGGTACCTTAGAGGCCCGGCGCGGGTGGTGACCGCCTCTGGCCGCTGTGTGAGTCCCCGGGACTAAAGATGTACAGTGCAGCGTCGGCACGTGTGTGATAGAGAAAGCCCTGGAAGGAGGCGCGAAACCCCGAGAAAGGGTGAACGGACAAGAGGGAAGCCCCAGATTATAGCATTGAAAGAGGCAGCGGGAAAAGCTGGGACTTCTCAGCTTCTTCATCTGTAAAATGGTTGTTTAATAGGACCTCACTTGTCGAATTGTTGAGCTAAATTTATTACCAATGCAAAATGCTTATGTAGTACAGTGCCTGACACATAGCACAGGCTATATAATTATTTCCAATATATAAAAGGATAGTTAAGATCATATAAAAAAGAGACGCCAGTTAAGAGGGCTGAGAAAGGGCAGTCTCAGAGCGATAGAGATAGAGAGAGAGCAGGTCTCCAGGAGAGCAGAGTGGAGAGTGTTGACAACAGTGCCACATGGTGCATAAGGTTCCCCTAAAGGGGGCTGGTGAAGAGCCCCCACTCTGCTGGTGAGGGAGCCCTGTGTGTCCTCAGAGGTCACCCCAGGAGTGCAGTGTGGCAGAGGCCAGACTGCCTGGGGTCAGTGACCTCAGTTCAGAAATGGCAGGGCGAACACTTTCACTTCCTTCCACCCCGCATGCCACAGACGTGGTAGTGAAGGGATTTGTTCTGTTTGCATAAACAAACAAACAAAGAAAAGGCGAGAGATGACAGCAAGGGAAATTTGGAAACTAAAAGCAGAGTGGTGAGATCTCGTTGACTTAATTAATACAATTAAACTCTGAAGGCGGGGATTGCAATGGGGGCGGTGCCCAGAAGCAAGCTGAGTTGCTCCACTGCACCCCAGAAAGGCCCGGACTTGGAGACTTTAGGCGTCTCTGAGAGGGGGTGAAAGTCAAGATGAAAACAGAAAGTCTGCGTTAGAAGCAGGTAGACTCATTCTCTCCCCTCATCCTGCCCCCACCCCAACCCCTGGGCCATGACTTTCCCCAGCCCTGCCCGGCAGAGTGACTGATCTCCTCCATGAGCAGGAGACTTGGGGTGGAGGGGTGAACCCCACAGTCCAAACGGGAGGGTGAGGGGAGATGCCCATGCTGAGCAGTGAGAGCCCAGCTCCCTTCTCCCACTTCTCCCAGGAGTTGCAGCCAAGTTGTCATCTGCTAAAGGAGAAGAGAGGTTTTCCTCTGGATTAATGAGAATCCAAAACCCCCAAACACTAAAGATACTCACGGTCATGGTCATTATAGGATGGCTCCTAATAGTATGCAGTAACTGTGACACTATCCTCCTATTACTTTACTTTATTATTACTTTTTATAACCTGACCAGGGATCAAACCTGCAACTTTGGCTCATTGGGATGATGCTCCAACCAACTGAGCTACCTGGCCAGGACACATATCCTTTTAAACTCAATCTAATGTAGCCCAAAGTCAACTTCCCCTTAGCCAGATTCCAAAAATGCCTACAGCAGCTCCAAAACCGCTCCCACGCAAGGGAAACTGAAATAGAGGAGACTTCCCAATGGAAGGAGCCAGTCATCATAGCCAGTTATGGTTAAAAGACCCTCCTTTGAATATCCATGCCACCACGTGGACATGGTGCTGGGGCTCCTTCCAGGCCTTGGAAGCAAGAGAGTCTGAAGTTTCCGAGACATTAGCTTCAATGTCGATTTGCCTCTGACAAGAGCAATAACATTTTAGAAAACGAATTAATGTTTAATTTACCAATAAAAATATGCTAACAGAAAGGAAAACATTAACTGAAGAGTGGAAAGATAAAGTGGAGAAATCCTCCAGAAATTAGAGATAAAGATGTAGAAAAGAAAAATAAATAGAAGGATATTAAAAAATCAGCCCAGATGGTCCATCGTCCACACAGCGGGAGCTCCAGAAGATACGACAGGAAACAGAGAAGAGGGCTTCTTGAAGAAATCATTGCAGGGGACTTCCCACCCCGCAGGAGTCATTGTGCGTCTAGGACAAAGCTCGGCAATCGAGGTGTCTGCTAGTACAGTCCAGTCCTGCAGAACGGTGGGCATAGAAGGTTCTAGAAACACCCAGAGGAGAAAGAAGTCGCCGTAGGTGAAGTTCTGGAGTAAGAACAGCTCTGGACTTTTCATCAGCGGCACCAGAAATCAAAAGACAAGGCAGCGACGCCTTCGGAGTTCCCAGGGAAAGTTACAACCTACAACTCTATACTCAGCCAAATTATTAGTCAAGTGTAAACACTGAATTTTTAAAATATCAGACAGGCATAGATTTAAAAAGTTTATAACACAAGCAGGTTTTTAAAAGGATAAGTGAATTAATGCCTCTTTAACATGGCAGAAAATCCATAGTACTGTTTAAAATGCTAATCAAGAAATGGAGGCGTGAAACACTGGCTTTAGGGATATGCAAGTCACCATCCCTAAGACTTCAAAGTGGCTGGGAGGCTCAGCGGACCAGAGTGCCTCCGAGGACTGTGTTCTGCCTTGCAAGTTTTGCACTGTTTGTTTGTTTTTAAACCATGTGCCTGTATTAATTTGATTTAAAATAATTTAATTTGGAAGTCACAAAGGCAGTGAGTGGAAAGATGGACAGTGGATAGAGGTGGTGGAGGGTGAAGAATTTCCTTATACACACGCAGCTCGTTATTCCTCCCCACGGCGTGAGAGAGAACTGGCATTGTGCCCCTTGAGAGATGAGGAAAGCGAGGCTCAAGGCAGTTCCAAGACCTTGCTCAGAGTCACGCCGCTGGAAATGGGCCGTGTTCAGGCTGACCCCAAGTCTATCATCCCCCACCACATAGTTTTGAATGTTGGCAAGTAAGAGAAGAAAGATTCTCTTGGAACCTAGTATAAGGCAAGGCAGTGAGTTTTTGATAGAAGAAACACACAGATATTGACATGAGTTGAAGGTAGAGAGTCACCAGAGGCCAAAAATTGAAAATACAAGAGAGAGCAGGAATAACTGAGCTGAGCCTTAGGAAGGTGGGCAGGCAGCACAGGAATATGGGGAGAGCTTGCCCAGAGCGGGAGACACTGTGGAGGGCGGTGAGGAGGGAAGCTGTTATTGAGCTGGAACTTCGGGAGGAGGGAATGGAAGGGTGATAATGGTTCTCCAGAAGCAGGAGGCTAGTGAGTCTGTGCATACAGGAGAAGGGGAGGGGAGCCTGGGCTCTAACCTGGGATTGCGGGGAGTAGAGTTAGCAAACTTAGCAAATAAGAACACAGCTCTCCCGCCCGGCTGGTGTGGCTCAGTGGTTGAGTGCCCACCCAGGAACTGAGAGGTCACTGGTTTGATTCCGGTCAGAGCCCATGCCTGGGTTGCAGGCTGGATCCCCACTAGGGGGCGTGCAGGAGGCAGCCGATCAGTGATGTGTCACTCTTATTGATGTTTCAATCTCTCTGTCCCTCTCCCTTCCACCCTCTCTAAAAAATCAGTAAAGGAAAAAACATTTAAAAATACCGCTCTTCTAGTTAAACTTAAATAAACAAGTCATTGTTTTTTTGTTTTGTTTTTTAGCATATGTCCCAAACGGCGCATGGTATTTTCACTGGCGAGCCTCACAGAGACACACGGAAGCATGCATAAAGAACAGCAGCGCTGCTTTGAAATTCGAGATTTGGAGTGGGGCTACTCCAGAGTGGTCATCAGGCTGTAACGGAGGTGCCATGGGAAGTAAGGTAGGAATACTGGGCGTGGCTTCCAGGCAGCAGCGGAAGGGGAGCTGGGCAAGCGGCCAGGGGATGGCTTGAGGAGGAGATTCTTAGGGCCTCTCCTGAGAGTCCTGGGAAGAGGCATGTGTGGGAACTGGAGACGGGGAATTGGCAGGGAAGCCATCGCTGCAAATAGCTCTGCTTCCCTTCTCCTTCTGCCTGGTGGTCATCTGTATTTTACATCCCGTCAGTGTGGATTAAGGGCGAGCAGTGCTAAGTAATCATGTGCAAGGTTGAAACACGGGGTCAGTATCAGTAACCTGGTCCTCACCAGCAGTGCTCACAGGAGAAGGACGGAGTCCGCGCCGCCATCTTCCGCAGGTGTGAGGTTCCACGTGGGGGTCTGCAGTGGTGGTTAAGGACCCTTAGCCCGTCCATGGTCTGTCACAGCCCACGTTAACCAAGCGGCTTCATATGTCTGGACTCAGTTTCCTGGTTTGTAAAATTAGCACAAGAATAGCACTTGAGGGTCATTGTGAGGATCACATAAGTTAGTATGTGTCACACTTGGAAACTGGAATACAAATACTGAAAGTATTACAGGTAGATGAGAGGTTTTTATAAAAAGTCAGTCTGCAAGACATTCATGGGGTTGGGACTGGATACGTGGGCAGAGCACAGAGGACTTTTAGGGCAGTGAAAATACTCATGTGATACCATGTGATGGATACATGTCAGTATACATTGGTCCAAACCCAGAGACTGCACAGCAACCTCAAGAGGGAACCCTGAGGTAAGCCATGGACTTAGGTGATAATGTCGCCCACCATGTTCCGGCGGCCCCCTGGTGGTCAGCACATGTCATAGCCAGTGGTCAACTCCCTGTGGAACAATTTGCATTTTGGGCCTTTATTATATAGGATAGGTAAGTCCTCAAACCCAATCAGAGGCGTCTGAGAGTCCCTGCTGTTTCCAGGCTGTGCGCACTGTGAGGCTGTTGAACTTGTGGGTAGGCGTTTCGTGATTGACGAGGGCTTTCAGACAGCTGTGAATTAACCGACACTTGGCGTCTTCTTTTGCAAACTCATAAGATCCCATAAGCCAGGGGTCTGTTGTTTATTCACCAAGCCTCCTTCTGAGTCATTCAGGTACAGGGCGTGTCTGATTGAAACTGCGCAGCGGAGACCTTTTGCATTCACATCTGCAGGGATGGGAAGCGGTGTGACCAGGCGCTGGGTGGGACTGGCCTTGCAGCAGTGCGCAGGGCAACGTGCCCTGCCCTGCGCCCGTCACACAGCTGAGCTGACCAAGGCACCTCTCAGTCTCAGGTTCAGAGGTCGCAGCTAAGAGCAAGGAAAGAGTGGGCGAGCTGTGAACACTGAGGTTTGGGGGCGCCTCCCAAGTAGAAGGGAAGCGAAGGGCGCCGGCCCCCAATGGGGCGGCAGCAGGCCCTGCGGGGTTGGGGCTGGGCCAGGCCAGGCGGCTCTTCCCCTTGGAACTTCCTGAGCTGCCCGAGCTTTAGAAAACAAGCGGGCCGGGCAGCTGCCCACCTCCTCAGAGGCCTCTTGCCGCTGGCCAGAATCTGGGGCACAGGGCCGCCTGGGCGCCCAGCTGAGGGAGGGGAACCCCCACAGCACCTCGCCGGACGCTGGCCCTTTTCACCCTGCGCCCCGGGAAAGCCACTTTCTGCCCCTCAGACCGCAAGTTGCAAGTTTCGAGGCCGCAGCGGGGACGGGTGGGCGTGGAGGTGGGAGAAGGGGAGGAACATCCGGCACCCCCTCCCGGCCCCTCGCTCCCCAGGCCTCTCGCAGCCCCTTCCCCAGAGCGCAGGCTCCTGTTTCCCCGCC